CTAGATATATATTGCTGTCACTGTTCTTGAAGAGAAAAGTTAATTCCTACAGAGACAATGGTAACCTTAAGAGAAGCAAAATAACGCCAAAGCAACAGCTGAACTCTCTCTTCCAATTACATCAGTGGGCTTTCTCTCTAAGATATCATAAATTTATGTAGATAATAAAATATTGGTAGATTACCATGGAGTGCTGTTACAATTGTTTTAAAATAAGAGTTAACCAGTAATTGAAATCTGACTTTGTTTTGAAAATATGAATCCCCTCTCTTCACTACCCAATTAGGGTTCAGACTAGTTACTGCCTAACTAGACTAGAAGCCACGTGGAATAAAAATTTGCACTTTTTCTCTCCCCCACACCATCCCCCAAAGTGCTTTTCAAACCTATTTATTGATTGAAAACACAGCTATAACAAGTGTTATCTTAAAAAAATATTTTAAGTGTTACAATACGAAGCTGTATCACAGGTATTTTATCCATACTGACACTGTAGAATACAAGTGGGGAGTAGGTAATAAGTTCACATTGTATTTTGTACAGTCTCTGCAAAGATCCCCAATAAAACTACATGAACAAGTTTCACTTTAGTTCCAAAAAAACATTTTATGTGTGTCATTTTCAGCAGATACAAGAGTACAACCCACTGAACAATGCAAATTGTAATCTACAATGACTTCTACAACTTTACAAAATAATTTCATGCACTGTATTCAATACATTATGGACCACTGACCTAAACTCATAACCATTGCTACTGTGTACACTTTCACATTCAATAAAGTAAACCACATTACAGTGGAACAAACCCCTTTACAATCATTTACAAGTACCTTTTTACAATGATTTGCAAGGGCCTTTCCCTGTAACGTTCAACTACTTAAGATAACTCTTTTGTACGCTTAACTCAATCTCAAGCCCATGTATTCCTGCTTAACCAAATTCACAATCCAAAACTTAAAACAGAAATTCCATTCATCTAAATGACCTCCTAATTTTAAAACATTATACACCCAGTCATCTTTACATTTATTCATGCCTGTTACCCATTCATTCACAAGTGCTTTACACTTTAAATTGTTGGCTGTGGAAACCTGAGAGTTGCAATGCCATTTCTTGTCCTACTTCAATGAATGTCACAGAGAGCAGGTTGCACACCAAGATATACCAATACATTTTGGATTGCAAAATATATTCTACTCGAACAGCACCTCTAAAAGTTTTGAAGCCACCATTTTAAACGCATTGTCAGGCAAACAATCCAAAATAAGAGTATAGGAGTGTACAAATAAAACTCCTCCTCCTACTGAGCTGGTTGAGCACTAGGCCATTTCAAGTAATGGCAACAACTTAGAAATTCAGCCACGGCATAGTCAGGGGTTTACAATATACCTGCAGAAATCTACGGCCTAGATAGCTTCATGTCACTGAATGCCACACAAAATGTCTGATCACCAGATTTACACCATATTTCAATGACACACGTGAAATGTATATTGCATCGATATGTTTCTTTATGGCATTCATAATTTTGGTTGGTTCAAAGAATAAAGCAGCAACTTTTATTTCAATATCACCCACGCCCCCTGCTCGGGTCCAAATCTCTGACTGTCCAGCACCTTGGGATGGCCTCCCCACGTGAAAGGCGCTATACAAATGTAATTTTGTATTATGTGTTGTACATTGATGAGCTAATGTAAAGGCAATAAGCAAAACATGACTTTTCAACTCCCATCATAAAGAAATTAGATTTTTTTCCTATTTAAACTTGTTCTGTGCAGATCGATTTGAAAAAAAACATAGATAGCTTCTTTAACTTTCACTTGCACACAGAAGACCAAAGCTCAGTCCCGACTGCCAGTGTAACAGCTAATCTTGGAACAATAATGTTTTCTTGTTAACTCGTGGTTCCAAAATTCTGGTCAGACAATTTAGTCGATGCAATGCCTGACCAACAGCATTTAAAACAACCAAATTCTACCCACAATTTTAGGCTATTTCACTTCATGACAGAATACCTATTCAGACAATCAACTGTTCTATACCAATGGACCAGAGGATATGAATTTCATGAGTGCTATGTTCCTCAGACACAGCAATGCCATCATAACTCTTGTGTTATCGTCACTATGAATGGCAGCCAGTCTTGCAGAGCAAATGTAAACAACTAGTGTGCATGAGCATCTTTGTTTACAAATATAGAAACATTAACTCATTACAAACTACAGAACGAATGTAATACAGATTTTCTTCCTTCTGTTTCCTCTTTCCCTCATTCTAAAATGTTGCAATGGCTATTTAATTTTGAAACAAAAATGCAGAGGAAGCTGGGGTTTCAATTATATTTACGAAAACAAATGTCATTTAAACACAAAGCTGGGTATTACACTATAAACAAATAACGTCACAAAGGCCTATCTGATATGATTTTTTCCTCCCACACGAAACTAAAAGGTAACCAGAAAGTTCATAAGTGTTTAGTTGTTAGTGAAATATGGCCATATTATGAGAATAAATATGAAATATCATATCATTTATATCTCCATTAACTGGTAGGTCAAAATAAAATAAAATAAGACCCTCAGCTCGGGTCCATAACTCTATCTGTCCAGCGCCTTGAGAGGACGTCCTCCCGACATGAAAGGCGCTATACAAATGTAATTTTGTTGTTGTTGTTGTTGTTGCTTTTGGGTCCACATGTAAGTTGCTGAAAGTTTAAAAATCTAAGCTCTTTACCATGTTCTCTTAAGGAGATTTCCTTTTTAAAAAAATATAATTACTATTTTCCTTAAGATATCAATATTTTTTCAAATTTCAAATTAAACCACATTTATAATTAACAAAAATGTTACTGTTTTGAAAAGAAAATGGCATTTCCATTAATACCATCAGAAAGAGAAATATTACAGCTCTCAGAATAACATTACAGCCAATCTAAAAATAAATTCCACAGAAATGTTGCATAATATTTATTTGGAAGAAGTAAATGTAATAGCTTATGTAAACCTAAACATATCTGAACATAAAATCGTGCTTCATTTGGAGTGAGGTCTTGTGGAAAATTAAATGGGAGTAAGTGTGATTTTGCATCGTACGAACACTACTGATGAATGTATATTTTGCTGATTGATGCATTTTAAAATGTATTTAAGTGAATAAAGCAGAGAACGAAACAGTCCAACCAAGATCAGCCCTGATAGAATTAAACTTATTGCAGTGTGGCAAAACCGAGGCCATATTTAAGTTGTTTCTCATAAGCAGCATCACTACGACTTTAAATTGCAAAGTATGTACAGCACAGTCCCAGCAATGTTGAGCACGAATGCCACACTTACAACTCTTTTGTCCCAACTTCCAAAATGATAACAAGCAAATGAAAATGAGCGTGCAATAAACCATAAGCATGTTTATAATGCTGCTACATTATTCTTAATCAGACACCACATTTCTAGTAATTTTGCGTTGCACTTTAGTACACGACATGAATAGCAAAGTTGTTACTTCAAACCCATAAAGTATAAGACACTAAGGTGCAAGTCAAACGAGCAATTGAGACTACATGGCTATTATTTATTTGAATTAAAAAGTTGCAGACAGCAGAGGACAACCACTCATTTTCTTCCATAGTTGCTCGGCAGCGTGGAATATAACAAGGCACTCACTCATTGCAAGACACCCAATTCAACACAACTTCAAGACTTGGCGGCTCAAGTCACCGAGACTGCGGGTGCTGTTTGCCCACAAATAAAACACATTTCTGAACGTCTGCAACGTGATGTTTGAAAACAAGGAGCACTCCCCAATCCGAGACTACTTTCCAGGCACCGTAAAGAGGTTTCCCTGGGCTTGGAAGGAAAGCATCGCGATCTACAAATAAGAAGCCAAATTATACCAAATAAACGTGATATATATATATATATGTGTGTGTGTGTGTGTGTGTGTGTGTGTTTTATTACTTGTCGCATTACTAACATGACTTTTCTAGTTCACTGAACAGCATCCTGTGCTCAAGTGGTCTCTGGCACAGAGCAGCAGCAGCTCGTTCTGTCCTGACTTCAAGACACACTCAGAACATGTCAGGAAACACCGTTTCAATCCGGTGCTGTTGTCACCAACTTTCCCCCCCGGTCCCCAGTCTGGCGGCCCGGCTCTCAGCCATCGCAACCCAGCGATCCCCAGTGCACTCACTCACACCAGACAGAGAGACACCTCAACTTCTCCCCAACTCCACTAAAATACTGCACTGCCGGCGAGGAGGCACCGCCACACAAAACACAACACCAGTAACAGTTACTGCTGAGAGGTTTTCCTGACATTTGGTTCCCATTGTGCACTGGTCTCACCGATTCTACCGTGACTTACAATGACTGGACTAAGTTACATCCTCCACTTCAGTGCAGTACCTCTCTCTCTCTCTCCCTCTCTCCCTCTCTCCCTGACTTCCAAAAGTGTAAATAAACCCATCACACAGTGCCAAACAGCGGAACAAAAACACACAAGGAGGACCCGTGCAACTTCTCCCTGAGTTCCCCCCACCGTGTATTTATACTCCCAACGTGACTCCCGTGACCCCCCGCACAGCAGCATCCTGTACCCGGTGTGCCCTGTACCCGGTGTGCCCTGTACCCGGTGTACCCTGTACCCGGTGTACCCTGTACCCGGTGTGCCCGGTGTGCCCTGTACCCGGTGTGCCCTGCACCCGGTGTACCCGGTGTGCCCGGTGTGCCCTGTACCCTGTGTGCCCTGTACCCGGTGTGCCCGGTGTGCCCTGTACCCGGTGTGCCCGGTGTGCCCTGCACCCGGTGGCACTGGTACCGGGAGAACAGCAGCGACTTCTTGTCCTGAGTGAACTGTGTGTGTGTGTGTGTGTGTGTCTCAGAATGAACTTATTTTTTCGCAGGAGCCCCACAGACCCGAGTTCGACACCTCACTATACCATTCCGGAGCCGCCGGAGTTGAATCCGGGGTCGTTTCCCCCGTAAAAGCTGAGGTAAACTTACTTTTCCCGGGCTTGGCTGTCAGAAGGTACAGTGTTACTCTTGCCTTTGGCGTACATGCTTGAAGAGCTGGATTGTCACGCACCTGTCAAGCCATCAGGTCCCGGGAACAACCCCGTCACCATGGCGACCAAACGACGGGCCGCCCTCATTGGCCCGCGCCGCAGCCGGCGCCGCCCCGTTACCACGGCGACGGGCTGACGGACAGGCGCGCTCGGCCGGGCGGGCGGGCGGGCGAGCGGCTGCTTCTCTTTTGGGGGAGTTTGAAACCGTTGGCGTTTGGATTTTTTTTGAAAAAAAAGAACCCGGCTGTTCCGGTAAACGGCTCCGACTCCCCCCCCCACCACCACCACCACCCAGCGCTCGGGCCGCAGCCAATACCCGGACTGGAGTCTCGCGCTGCTGCGGACTGGCTGTCTGCAGGCTGCCAGCTCAGCTCACACAACAACAGGGCTGGGAGGGAGGGAGGGAGGGAGTCAGTGTGTGTGTGTGAGTGAGTCAGTGTGTGTGAGTTTGTGAGTGTGTGTAAATGTGTGAGTGTGAGTGAGTTTGTGAGTGTGTGTAAATGAGTGAGTGTGAGTGAGTGAGTGAGTGTGTGTAAATGAGTGAGTGTGTGTGAGTGAGTGTGTGTGTGTGTAAATGAGTGAGTGAGTGAGTGTGTGAGTCAGTGAGTGTGTGTGAGTGTGTAAGTGAGAGTGTGTGAGTCAGTGAGTGTGTGTGAGTGTAAGTGAGTGAGTGTGTAAGTGAGTGAGAGTGAGTGAGTGTGTATGGGTGTAAGTGAGTGTGAGTGAGTGTGTGTGTGTGAGTGTGTAAGTGTGTGAGTGAGTGTGAGTGAGTGTGTGAGTGAGTGAGTGAGTGAGTGTGTGTGAGTGTAAGTGAGTGAGTGTGTGTGAGTGTGTAAGTGTGTGAGTGAGTCAGTGTGAGTGAGTGTGTGTGAGTGAGTGAGTGAGTGAGTGTGTGTGAGAGTGTGAGTGTGTGAGAGTGGTTCAGAAGGCAAAGATTCCCTTCTATTTTAAAAATTTTTAAAAATACCAAATAACTGAAATGTTATCAGGTCATTATATCTTGAAAGGCCTAATGGTATTTATTTTTTATTTTACCCCCCACCCCCCCCCCCCCCCCCCCCCCCGGCTCTGCGCGGGGAGAGAGAGAGAGAGAGAGAGGGAAAGATTCCAGATGTAGGTCTTGTGGGGTCAAGTCGAGTGGCATAATTTTCGTTGCCTTTGTCTGGGGTCCAAAACAAATGGATTCTTCGCTGTTATTAAATCCTCTGGTGTTCGGTAACGCTACACCCCCTAAAAAGAAACATTTGTTTTCTCTTTTTAAGTGTGGGACGAAGCAAAGGAGGAGAAAATCCCCCCTAAATTAAGCCGCCAGCAACATTGGCGGGTGACTAATTGATTCTATACTTTTTCCAGAATATTTCAGTGATTTTTTTTTGCATAAATTCTGCACAGACACTCGTGTTTCGCAGGATTTTAATATTTTGCTTCTTATTGCGCTCTGAAATGTTACACACGAAGGGTGCAATATAAATGCAAGTTGTTGTTTACTGACTTTCAAACACATTTTTCCCCTGACGGGTCACTCCAACTCTACCTTGGATGTGGGAGGTGGAGATATTACTCTGTGGATGTCATTCCCTGATCAGCAAACAAAAAATGTGGGTTGAGGAGGCAAAAGAAACCGACAATGTTATTTTTCACTCTATGTTTTGCGAGCCCGAAAGAGTTTCCAGGAACAGGTAAACGACTCAGAGTGACAGACTGTGACCAAAATGGTTGTGCTTGGAGGGCAGGGAATCAACTGTAGAGGATAGTTTGGTTTTGCTTTCTTTGCTCTTCCCCCCCTCCCTTTCAAGTTAGGTCATCACATTCACAGTGGAGATGATTTCTCCCTAGGCACTTCAATAGATGTTATTAATATTCCTTGGTTGACTCATCAGGACAAAAAAATGAGCAGTGCAAAAGGTATCATCAGCTAGTTTTCCTTTCCTCCACTGTACATCCCATCTACAATTGGTTAAATTCACTACATTGCAAAAGTCCAAGTGGAAATGTCATTCAAACCTGATATTTAAATGTCACGTCAAGAATTCAATGCTTTGCATTGTAGCTTTTTAAATAATTTCAGCTCTCTAAAGGGAAAGCAGTTTATGTTTCATAATAAACTACAGATTTGTATAATTCCTTAAAATAACAGATAAAGAAATTTTAGTTTATGTGAAGGGATACACAATGGGAAACAATGGAATTATCGTTGAATTCCTTTGTTCCCCATTGGGTATTCTGTTGATATATTCTGCTTTGTATTTTCTTTGGAATGAAGTAATTTAGCATATCTTTATTGTTTTCTTAGTTTTCACAAATATTATTACAAGAATGGAATGCATTTTAACCCTTTAACTGCAGGCAGGTTCTATAACAACTACAACAACCAAATTACATTTGAAAGTGCCTTCCATGTCGGGAGGACGTCCCAAGGCGCTGAACAGTCAGGGATCGGGGCTCGAGAGTGGCGATGCAGGATTGGGATGAGGGAGGGCGGAGAGGTAGGAGGGAGACTGACGGCACGGTCGAAAAGGAGGGTCTTGAGTTGTGTCCTGAAGGAGGCAAGAAAGGGAGCAAAGCGAAGGGATTGTGGGATGGAGTTTCAAAGAATGGGGGCAGAGAGGCTGAAAGCCCGGCCACTGATGGTAGGGCGGGTCTGGTGGGAGACAGGGAGCAGGCAGGAGCCTGCTGATCGGAGGGAGCAGACTGGTTGATAGCGTAACCCTATCAGGTCAGAGATGTAGGAGGGGCAGGACCGTGGAGGGCCTTGAAAGTGAGGATGAGGATTTTGAACTCTATCCACTGAGGGAATGGGGAGCCAGTGGAGCCGGGCGAGGGTGGAGGCGATGGGGTCACGGAGCCCGGTGCGGGAGAGAAAATGAGCTGCAGCATTCTGGATGATCTGCAGCTTGCGGAGGGAAGAGTTGGGGAGGGCGACAAGAAGGGAGTTTCCATAGTCGAGCCTTGAGGTGACGAATGCGTGTATGAGGGTTTCGGCGGCCTGAGGAGTGAGGCAGTGGCGGAGTCGGGCAAAGTTGCAGAGGTAGGGCAAGGCAGAGCGGGTCAAGGCATGGATGTGGGGGAGAAAGAACAGTTAATTAAAATCAGGACAACCGATTATTTTCAACTCCCACACTGTAACGCTCAAAATAATGCTAACAGGAATACTGCCACCACATCAGCAGTAGCTTTACTATGTAGGGTTAACTTAAACATCAAGCATAAAGTCCCAAGTTGCTATTCAAGATTTTTTTGGGGTAGGTTGGGTGTCTGACTCATGTGGAAAAACATCACCACTCTTAAGAATACCCAAACCATTCTGGAAGTTCCATGTCTGCCGCCTACACATGGGAATTTCTGTCTGGAATGGAATACTCGCTCCCTCCCCGGAGGAACTTCTCCCCCTGAGACATTACGCGTCCTTCACGCGTAACGTTTCACAGCGCAATTAGTAACAACCTGTTCCCAATGCCCTGGAGGGTATCAGGAACAGGTTGGCAAGAGCCAAGGTTTGGGGACCCCAGAATGTGAATTGGTGTGCTGCTGGAGTTTAACCAGCTAAAACCACACAGCTTGCCATTGAAAGCACTGCCTGGCAAACTCATTGTTTATCCAGCTATGACCAGTCTACCTGTTAAGGGTTTGTCTTGCCAGATTAACGGGAGCTGAGTGGAAAGAATCCCTGCCATCAGTCTGCCCTTCCATGTTCTGTCAATGAGCCATTCTGGTTGGCCTGTCATTAGCAGTTCACTAGAATTAGTACTGCAGACTCTCTTGGCTCAGGAACTGGACATAACATAACTACTGAGACTACCACAGAAATTGATAGTGCTATTTTCAATAAAAAGTTTTATTTCTTTGTCTCTTGTTTTAGTCCAACATTTTCCTATCCTTTCTCTCCTATAAGTTATCTTTAGCTTCTGTCTTCCCAACCCCACTTGGGAGTTCAGTCCAGATTGAAACATTTGCAATAAATCATCCATAAAATGGCTCCAAGCCCCATATTTTTGAGCCAATTGAATGGCAGTGATCTCAAGATTGTCACATTATAAATGTTTTTTTTCAGCATCTAAAGAAGGGAAGGAATTGCCAATCATTGCATATACGATCAGTAGCATCCAGGAGAATAGCATGCACGGTCGAATGGACCATAGTACACAAAGGGTTAATATTCCCTTCGATGTCATGTTAGTGTTTCTCAACTCCCCCAGAGGTTACCATTTTGAAAATCTCTTAAACAGAGGATTCAACGGAATCACAGCGAGAATAGTGTGTACTCACCCTTACATAAATCCCAGGCAATTTATTTATTTTCCATCTGTTGGTTTTCTTCAGTAATTGTAGTTACAAGCCTCGATAGGGGAGCTATCCTTCCATACATTTTACAGGAGTAGACATACTGGAGTGACAGCTGGCAAGTAGATTCTCTTGCAATGCATCTGCTCTGCCTCATTGGTGGCAATGGGATGTGTTTAAAGAATAATTGATGGAACTTTTTTTTCTCTCTATCATTCTTCAGCCTCTGCTAAATACTGTTTTAAAAAAACTACCCTCAATGTATCTGTAAGAAGACTGAACCCATTAATACCTATGATGTGGAACACATTAGCTTCAAGGGAATCATCTTATCCTACATTATTTGAGCAGGTGTCAGCCTGACTCAGTTGAATCAGGAAATTGTGGGTTCAAGCCCTATGTTGGGAGTTTGAACTCACGGTTGACGTTGACATTCTAATACAGTGTTGCGGGTGCGCTGCATTGTTCAAAGTGTGAAGCAAGGTCCCGTTTGCTTGTTCAGGTGGACATTAAAGATCCCATGGCACTATTTGAAAAGAGGTGTACTGGCCTCCAGATAAAATTGATCATTCACTTCATGGCTCTTTTCAGGACATTGCTGTGCACAAATTGGCTACCATGCTTGCCTATAAACATACTTACTCATTACACTTTACAGAAAATTCAATGGAATGCTTTGAGAAACCTTGCCATGTGAATGGCATTTTTCAAATGTAAGAATTAGTATTATATCTTCTCTATAGTGGATGAGTACTGGGCTCCTATTATATCAT